TTTTTGGGTGATGCAAAGGGTCGGGGTCACTCACTCACCGTCCTCGCTCTGGTTGAAATAGCGAAGCAGGGTCATCAGGTTCCCTCCAGACAGTTGTGCTTGCGTCCTGGCCTTCTCGGTCTGCAGGTCCCAACTCTCAGGCCCCTCCTTCTCCATCCACGGCGCCCGCGGCTCCATCCTCGGAGTCTCCGCGTGGCTGTCATAGCGCACGAACTCCGTGTAGTCCACGCAGCCCACGAAAATGAACCGCGGCTCCCCTAGGCCGGGCCGGAACACGGTGGTGCGGAAATACAGCAGGGAGTGTGAGCCTGGAAGCGGTGCGCAGTGAGACCCTGACCCTCCTCCTGGGACCCCGGGCAGAAGCCCCGGCCCGGACGGGAGAATGGCGCGGGGCTTGGGACAGGGGAGGAGAAGGGAGCAGCGGAAAGTTCAGGCTGGGCGATTGGGAGACGTGAGTTCCTGGGTTCCGTCCGTCCCTGCCCCTTCCCGCCAAGATCGGTTTCTTCCTGGGTTGCACTAACCTGTGTGGGTTTGAGCACAAAACAAAGGTGCCGCAAGCATCAGTCCGAGAGCTGGGGGCACAGTGGCCCCCATTCTTGGGGACCCTGAGCGTCTGGTTCTGGGCGGATTTTGGGCACCTTTACAAACCAGAGTGACCCTGATTGATTGGATTATCTCAGAACCCGACTTCAAATGAGAGTGAGAACATGTGTGACGTCATCAACATTCGGGCAGAAATCAATGAGGGTGGGGACTGGAAAGTGGAACTGAATGCAGACCGCCCAGTCACCACCCACTCCCTGAAACTCTGAGAGCCACTGCCAGAGAACCCCACACAGTGCTGACTTCCCGGAAAGAGCTAGGGTTTGTCAACCTGTCTTTCTGTCCCAATCAGAGACTGTGGAGTTCAGGGGAGACTGCAGACTGAACTGGGCCTTCTCTAATTCCGTGCAGCGAAGATGCAGTCCCACCCGTTCTGGGACTCTGCCAGAAGAAATATGCCAGCGGGTGTGTGGGCAGCAGCGACCTCGTCTGGGAATTCATCGGAGAGATAGGTCTTCTCAGTCTCTCTCTGTCTCTCTTCCCCCTCCCCCCACTGCGTGTCTGCCTTTCTGTCTCTCCATGTCTCTGTGTCTCTCTCGTCATTTTTTTCCACTTGCTTTTTCTGAGTTTTTCTTTTTTAAATATTTTTTTTATTTATT